CAGCAGGAAGTGTCATTTAATCAGTGCTCACTTCAGTGAATGGATCAAATGAAAATCTGATTCATTAAAGTAAACAGGTAAGCATTCTTGGCTATATGTTAAGACATAAGCTATTCTGAATTGCCCCAACTTATCATTTAGACTAATGCCGAACATCAGGAAACAAAGTCAGGAAGTCAGCTGTAACTTTTGGTAATAAATTTGAAACTGAGGGCTAGTGCTGATTTGTATTTCTGGCAGAAGAGACAAAAGGCACATTGCAGAAATCTAAAGTTCCAGGAATGATATGGAAAGCAGAGGGCTACCAAGGAGACAAAGGAGAAGTTAATGGAGAAAATATGCAAAGACCAATGGCTAATGGACCGTTAGGTTTAGTCATGGAAAGGAAATGAGGTCATAAAACCGAACCATCATTTGGCACGTGTTTGCTTGCATGCAGTTCTATAGTGCAAATGTAATGTGATACTGCACACTCTGACAAAGCTAGTAACATTTGTCTTCTTTCTCTTCCCTATTACTGCAGCTAGGATGAAACACCTGGGAACCAGCAGTGCATACCTTACCTCCACTAATTTGGAAGCTAGGTACATGGAGATAGTAGTACTTTTGTAAAACATCATAGAAACTCCTGCCAGGGACCCTGCAAAAATTGAAAAACAAACAAAAATAAAAACATACATAAGATTTTCAACTATTTCTTGATGTTGCTGTATGATGCAGAGCTCAGCACAGCTGATGTTACACAAATTTGTGCTTGCTGCTTCTGTATCAAGCTTCAGTGATGTTTCTGTGTTGCATATGAAAGGGTGTTTTGTGTGTCAGCTTTTCAAAAAAAGACAGATCCCTTTTGTTTTGGCACTTTGAGATAAAGCTGAAGTCCAGTGGCCAGCAACATGGTCTCAAATCTCCCCCCCACATCCAAAGACCCCAGCAGGGAAATGGCATAATGCAGGGGTGCCAAAGATCTGGCTGGGAATTCACAGGCGAGGCCCATCACTGAATTCCCAGCTACAGAGCATTGCTGGGGACGCGTGCTGACAGGTGGGGGTGGGTAGGAGCAACATCTACATTAATCTCTGTGCTGCCTCGTGCCCTACCACTGCTGTCACTGGGTCCAGATCTGGCCTGTGAAGCTCCTTGTGGTCCACATCCACCCTGGAGCTTCATGAGAAATGGACACCCTGATCTAATGGACCCATGCAGTGAGGGGATCATTTGGTCTAGTCTGTGCTCATCTCCGCTGCACAGGAAGGCTCCACTGAGTACTACATCATCAGTATGAAATCCCAAGCATACTCTGCACCCCAACCCATTTGATTCTGCAGCCACAGGACCTTCTTTGGCCATAGTGGGAAGGGGCAGGACCCATCCCTCTTTTAACTGCAAATACCATTGTATTCAAAACAGCAGAAGAGTTCCTAATTAGAAACTGGGAAGGAAATCTTGGGAAGTAAAAATTGGTAGTCATCTACATCAGTCAGGTGTCAAGCAGAAGGCAGGTCAGGGTAGCATCTTAGAGACTAATATGTTCAGAAAGGCACAAACCTTTGTAGGTGACAGCCTACTTCATCAGGTGCTATGAATGGACTTGCAAAGAGCAGGGGTACAAAAAAAAGGAATAAAGTAATTTAAAAACAAAAGATAAGGACAGGGGAAGGCCATTTATGACAGAGGCAAAGTGGGGTTGAAGAAATCAAAAGGGCAAAACAAAGCAATTAACCCACTGAGGGTTAAACTTACTGAGGAGCATAGGGGTTATAAATGCTAGCTCAAGTATCTGGATGAAAATGCAGCATCTCTGAGACCATACTTAATCCAATCTATGAGTGATTTCTTGTTCGGAAATTTTATATGTTCAGGTTGGTTTAGGGAAGTTCAGTTTGGGCATTTAAGAAGTTCTGCTGTTTAAGAAAAGCTACGCGGAGGTCAGTGATGAAACGTCCAGGGAGGCTGAAGTGTTTTGCCACCGGCCTGTGTGCCTTTCTGGAACTGCTGTCAATCACTGCCCATTCATTCTTTCACGTAGCGATTGCCCCTGTTCAGTGTAGGCAGCAGAGGGGCACTGTAAGCACGCTGTATGCACTGTAGCATATGACATTTCTAGAGGAGCAGATGAACAAACCCCAATCACTATAATTCATGTTGCTTGTTTGTCTGAGCAACCAATGCCATGTACGCTGCCACACACAAAAGCTTATGTCTTTCTGAATGAGTTAGTCTCTAAGGTGGTGCTTCCCAAACTTTTCCCCAGCATGACTCCATTTATGACCCCATTTCCTTAGCATGGCCCCTCACTCCCACCTCACAGCCTTCCACTCCTCAGGTGCCCCCCACTCCCCACCCACAGCCCCCTGACCCTGGCAGTGCCCTCACTCCCAACCTGCAGCCTCCCACCCCCCAGGTGCCCCAGGGCCAGGGCCCGCAGCCCCTGCCCCCAGCAGCACCCGAGCCCTGGCTGCTGCCTGTGGGAAGCAGTGTCTGCTTTGGCTGGAGTGGAGTGTGGAGCCCAGCTCTCCCGACCCCCAACCCCCTCTCCCACGGGGAGCATGGCCAAAGTGGAGCCTGTTGGGGAGAGAGAAGAGGATGTGGGCTGCCCACCCTGCCGCCCTTCCCACCGGGGCTCCACGGCCCAGCAGGAGGGACCCAGTGTGGAAGGGAGCACTGCACTGCTGTGTCACCTTGGCCCCCCTGCTCTCCTCTGCCATGTCACCTCTGCTCCCCTGCCCGCCTGCCACGTTGCCTGTGCCCCCCCCCGGATCCCTGTTTATCACGACCCATCCACTCATGTTGCAATCCCATTTGAGGTCGCAACCCACAATTTGGGAACCACTGCTATAAGGTGCCACCTTGCCCTGCTTAGAAAACAAAAGACAACGTTACACTTGTGCAGAGAATAATTGGTACTAAACGTGCCTGGACATTTCCTTTTATAAAAAAAAATGTATCACATTTACATTGTTATTCATGTCTAATTTATTGGAGACTTATAATGACTGATTTCCACTGCAGTACACACTCAGCATTTGTTTTCTTGTTAATTAAATACATAGGAATTTTGGAAAGGAATGGCCGGGGTGGGGTGGGGGGGAGCGCCAATTATATGCTCAAAAGTAATAATATTTAGAGAATCTGAATCAGGTGCATCACTCATTTTTCTTTATGGACTTACCAGCTATAAGTGCATGAAGCTCATCATCCAGGTTTCGTACCCAGCGCAGGAAACAACTAGTTCCCTGTGTTCAAGAGGATAATAGCATATACTTGGTTAGTATTTTTTTAAATGCTTTAGTTTTATAACAATGCACACAGCATCCAATAATCAAACTTATTAGCCTCAATGCAAGTGTTCATGAAGGATAAGCAGCTATTATGATAACAATAATTGCTTCTATTTCCACTACAGCCATGAGGCATCTATCAGTGTAGGGTCTGATGCACTTCATATAGTTTCAGTTTTTCTCAGAATCAGTCTAACTAACTGTAACCAGACTAGTCAACTTTAAGCATCCTTTAAAGAAAGGAAAAGAAAGCCGGTTCCTGCTTGCTCTCCATCCACATGAAACAGCTTAATTTGCTGACCAAAACTCTAACTGGTGAGAGCACTTGCTGCAATGAAAATAAATAGTCCAACAGCATGAGAGGCAAAGACGGTGACCTTCTCATGGGCCCAAACACCTTGAGACTGTTCATGTGTCAAGTTAGCAGGCCCAGTAAAGTATGATAACTGAGGCCATCATGAACCTGAAGAGTATTTTTATATCACAAAGCCCTGCATGTAACTAGAAGTCTTAATTGAATGCAGAAAGACCCCAGGAGGTACCATCAAATCTTCTAATTTGACATTCTATATGTCAAAGGCCACTGCATTTCACCAAGCTGCACCTGCTCTGGGTCCATTACCTTGTCTTTGAAGCATAACTTCTGTTTGGATAAAGCATGGTTTCCAAAAACTAACCCAATGATGATTTAAGGCATGGAAATCCATCACTTTCCTTTGGAGTTTGTTCCAGAACTTAATCACTATTGCTATGTTTAATTTCGAAATGGAATTTGTCTTGCTTCACCCTCCATGCATTGACTCGTCTTGCTTTGCCTTTCTCCAGTACGTTATGGAGCCCTTTAGTATCCAGGATCCTCTTCCTGGGAGGGCACTTGTGCACTGTAGTCAAGTCACCTCTCAATCGTCTCTTTGTCAAGCTAAAGTATTTAAGATTCCCATTGTAAGGCATCTTCTCTAGTCCTCAACTCAATTTTTCACTGTCCTTTTTTAAATATGGACAACAAAACTGTATGCTTCTACAATTCTGTGATTCAGACAGAGCCTCACAAGCACCTATGTACAGAAGTAAAAATCATTCCTCTAGTTCAACCCACTACTCCTGTTTATACAACCAAGGACTGCATTTATCTTTTTTTTTTGGTGCCAGAACATACATAGGAAATCTTACTGAAGTGCTTTCCCAGTATGACCTCTTCATCCCTTTCACAGTCCTAACTCTGGTTACCTGTCCTTTAGGTGTGGCCTGCATTCCTTATTTCTATGGCTAGGGACAGACATTACACATAAACTGATTTAAGTGATCAGAAACTGGTTTAAAACTGTAACAGAACATAAGTTCAGTGCACATAAACTAGTTTCAAAATGGCTGAAACTGGTTTAAGATAGGGCTGATTGAATGTAGTATCAGACTTAACTGATTTGGGTCAAACTGGTTTATGCAATGTCTGTCCCAGACCCTGTTCTGGTTTAAATTAAACCAGAGTCCCCCAGCACCCCAGATGCTTTGCAGCCCTTCGCAGTCCAGAGAACAGGGCTGGCCCTGCCCCTGTGCTCCCAAGCCAGAGCTCTGTCAGAGACTACAGGCACAGCAGGATCTGCCTGGCTTCCTCCTAACCTCCCCTCCTCCCTGCCACTCGCTGCTGAAGCAGGGGTCCCCCTCTCCCAGACCCCTTTCTGGTTTAAGTTAAACCAGATTCCCCTAGCATCCCAGATGCTTTGCATCCCTGGGCTGGCTGGGTTGGGCTGTCTGCTCCAGAGAACAGGGCTGGCCCCACTCCTCTGCTCCCTAGCTAGAGCTCTGGTGGAGACTACAGGCACAGCCTGTCTGCCTGGCTTCCCCCTGCTCCACCCCCCTTATTGCTCACTGCTCAAACAGGGATCCCACCCCCCTTCCTCCCTCCTATCTCCCACAGCATGGACCCCAGCCCCATGGACCCTAGGCATGTGGTATGCTAGCTAATGCTGAGAGGTGTCTCTGTGTGCATGTCTCCAATTTCCCTGGGACAAGCAGACAGAACAGTGTCTGCTTAGGGCTTTTTGGAGCTAATCAACAGGTCATTTCTTCCTTGGGAAAAAAGCTGTTTAAGAAGAGCTTGAACTAATGAGAGAGGCTTTTGTTTTGTTGATGGGATGATAAATGCTGTGTTATCAGCTCCCTGCTGGCTCCCTTGCCTGTCAGGTTTGCAGACAGTATGAAGTAGCATGAAGAGGGAGATTGAAAAGCTCAGTACCATCAACAGATGCATGCACTGCACACACCCCGTTTGCCTCAGAGTGCTAGCTGGGGGTTTGGGTCTGGCAACACTCCTGTCCCTTGAGCAGCGAATGGAGAAAAGCCTGGGACGGTGCAGGCTGGTGGGGATTTAGAGCCCTCCCTAATCAGTGTGTCATTCCATGCCCTGGCCACCCCAACTTCCCCTCAGCTCAGCACTTTGGAATGGAAGGGAGGACTGGTTTAGCACCCCCTGACTTCTAACCTGAGCCACCACAGGCATGTGCCTGCATTTCCTCAGTCCAGAGGGAATGTCTGTACACTTGCAAACTGATTCAACCTAGGCAGATTAGACTAACTTGCAAAGATTAAATCAATTCAGGATCAGGCTTTTTGAATGTCTGTCCCTAGCCTATATGTGCTATGCTGCATTTGGATGTATTAAAATACATTCTATTTAAATAGACCAAGGCTACCAACTGATTCAGATCACTTTGTGTGGCTGCTCTATACTCTTCTACTATTAAAGTCTACCAACTAGCATCATCTGCGAATTTCTATCAATGGTGAACGTAGCTTACTTCAACCATGCTGATAAAAATGTTGAATAGTATTAGGTCTAGTATTGACACCGTAGCGTCAATAAAAACCTGTAGCACAACTAGGTTAAGTGACAGGGACACCAGCCCCAGGCATCAATTTAGAGTGGGCACCAGAAGGGTGGCTGCTAGGAAATCTGCATTGTAGCAAAAGCAACCTAATTGTGGGAATCCTGCACCATTGCAGCAGTAGGCAGAATGTGGCAGCAGCAGCAAGGGTCTTTGAGTCTTTGTTGTCAGGTAAGACTCTTTTGTCCCTGGCACCTCCCCTCATTCTCCTGCTCTCTGGCATCTCTGTCCAAAGTGCAAAATTCACTACTTACATGTTTGTTAAAAATACTGTAATTATTTTGTCATTGACAATTATTTTGAGATGCCAGTTAGCAAGTTTCCCATCTATTTTATGTATGCTCTTTTGGTATTTTTTTAGTGTTCATTTTTTAACTGGAATGTTGCAGAGTACTAATCCCCAAGTACTTTACTTTTTTAACAGTTGCATTTATTTGCTAAACTTCACATCAGAATAAAATCACTATTTTGGCACAATTTTGTTTTATATGAAATTGTATTGATTGGCATTAATGATGTGCCTATCCTCTAATTCTTTATCAAGAAAATCTTCTTTCAGTAATGATACAGTATCAGCACACCCCAAATGAAATAATCTAGCTTCTAAGAGGTATTTAAATTTGCTTTTAGTATGCAGAGTTGATATTTTAAAGTGCTTCCTGACAGAACTCCTGAGGATCATAAATGCATCTTGTATTTTATTTTTGTTTTGCATACTTAGAGGGTACTATACATGATCTGCTTATGTTGCATTATGCTTGTTAGGAAAGCATAAGTATTGTTTCATATATAATGTATGTACTCGAATAGAAGATGATTATAAGATGACCCCAAATAATTTGATTCTATATGTGGAAAATTTATAAATTTGTTACAATTTTCCAGGTAAACAATCTAATTAGTGGAGGTCTGCCTTGAATGTGTCCCCCTCTCACTGCTACAACAGGGAAAATAAATCTGGGGGGTCAGGTAGCCCCTGTGCTCTCTGCTTTCCTCCAACTTTTTCCCCTGGCAGCTCCATCCCCCTCTTTTTACTGTCAGACCCTGCTCTCCCTGAGTGCATGGAAGTGAGAAGCAAATTTGAAAACAACAACTTTGAAATTAAACATGGCTGTATCAATTTGCATATAGTAGCAGTGCACTTAGTTCATCCAGAATTGATGTATGTTACCTTTTTTTGAAACTACTGCAGGTTTTAGCACAGGTACGCCATAAACACTTCTGAGCAACACCTTAGAACCCACTTGTATGTAGTACAAACCATTCAGGCTAATGATTTACACATAGTTCACTGGGCTGGGCCCCAACAGAGTCAAAAACATTTCAAGCCATGGTGACCCCACAGCTCAGCACTGCTCACTATATGCGTGTGCTCCACATACTCCCCACAAAGGATCCACATCCTAATCAGCCTCCACTCATGACTGGAGCCAGGTGTTCTTGTCACAAGTCCTGGGATGATCCAAAAATGTATATGAGGTGCAGGGCAACCTGGTCCAACTTCATCTCATGTACGGCAGGGCTATTAATCACATGCACCAGGTTGAGAGAGGGGACAATAGTGGGATTGTGGATGAACTACTTGGGGTCCCATTTTGTGATGTTTGTCAAGCATTTAAAGCTGGTGAAAAAAACAGGAATAATTAAAAATGGAAAAGAAAGGTGCAGCTGTGGGAGTGAAGAGGAAGTCAAAAGCTATGCCATGTTGTGGCTCACCATGACCTGAAAAAGAGTCTGCAGTGAGTGGGGACTGCGTTTAATGGGTACTATCTAGCTGGGGTCATATGAGCTTAGTCTTATCAGGGGTCATACGAGCGCAGTATTAATTCCTGCTCAGGGCAGGGGGTTGGACTTGATGATCTGCTCAGGTCCCTTCTGACCCTACATCTATGAACCTATGAATCTACTACAATATGTCTTATTCAGATGGACACACTACCCTATCCTTATGGAGCCTTTTGGCTAAGATCAAGGGAGATGGGGCATTTGAACCCCAAGTCCTGTAGGATGCATGTAAGATGCCTGTTTGGATTTGGGGGGCAGCTGAAGCCCAAGACTGATGGGTCTGGGAGGGAAGATATTTGCCCAGTGGTAGAACCACACAGATTTAGCAACTGAGCTCTGCTGAGTTGAATTTTGGAACTTGAATATAGGGCCTTGCCCAAATGAATTTGGAACTGATTTGGGCATGAAAAAAGATTTTAAAAAATAAACAAATAAACAAACAAAAGGTTTCCATCAGCATGTTTGCCAATGTGGGGGGGTATGTGTTTTATAGACATGGTCAGTCAGCATTGGCTGCATTGAATCAACATCATAGTTGGTTTCCATTGCTGAGCACATACTATTTTGGCAGCAGTTTAATGACAGACAATATATTTAGTGGGATTTTTGGTATGTGATTATAAGATGAGGGGCTTTTCCCCATGCCAATTGGGGGGCAGGGTAACCTCATCTTGTATTTGAGTAAATATGGTATTATGACAGAAGTAAAATACAATGCAATGCAAATCCACTGTGTAGTCACCTTCAAAGGTTCAAAATATTGGCTAGAATAGACCCTTTTTATGAACCCTTATAAAATATTTGAGTAAAGGTCACTTTAGCAAAAAAACAGGTAGAATTGGATTTTATTTTCCAGATGAAGTTATTAAAGAAAGCACAGGTTGAAAAACATTTTGAATGGGGCTTCCACTATATCGTCCAAGACCTCTCTCTCAAAATTTGAGCCTATTTTTAATAAAATTAAAGTATCATGACCAAACGAGCTGTTCATTCTACCAAAAAAGTTAGATCTGTTTTTCATTCTGGCTCCTTTTAATTAAAGTAGAATTCTGTAGTGTCTTGCTTTCCAGCTGTTAACATTCTATTACAAAAAGACTTATGTTTAATTTTCAATGCTTCTTATGTAGCTTTGAATACCTGAACATGTCTATAGGGATAAGTAATTTGGTTAAGGCCTATAAATATGATAGTTCAACATTAAAGTAGTGCAGCATACTTGGGATGAGCATACATATTGAGCTAGAGTCTAAGGAAATTGATTAAATTACTATAATTAGCTTCACTGGCACTGTACCAATTTATAAGATTAAGATCTTATATCAGATATCCTTTATATCTGTTTAGAATCATAAAGGAAATACATAGATCATGGAAAAGTAGGGTTGGAAGGGACTTGAGGAGGTCATCTAGTCCAACCCCCTGCTCAAAGTGGGACTATATCATCCCAGCCAAGACTTTGTCTAGCTGAGTGTGAAAAACCTACAAGGATTCCACAAGCTCTGTAGGTAACCTTTTCCAGTATTTTACTACCCTGCTAGTGAGAAAGTTTTTCTTAATACAGATAGTCCTTAGATTTACAACAAAATTGATTCCTGAAAACTGCGTCTTAAGTCGAAACTTTGTAACTTGGAAATTTTCCCATAGGAACAATGTTGCAAATGGGGGATTGGTTCTTTTACCAGGCTCAAAACAGCTGTGTCCAGCTGGTAAGTCTGTTCTGGTGGGGGGGAGGGAGGAGGTAAGGGGTGCGGGGGGGGTGCAGATCAATGCCCCTGCAGTGAGACAGCTTGGAGCTGGGGCAAGCGCTGCCCAGGGAGGGGGTGGGCAGCTCACGCCGCTGCGCGCCAGCAGTCCAGCAGCTGCTTGTGTGGCAGCTTGTCCAGCAGCTCTTGCCACTGCTCCCGCTGCTGGTTTGGGAGGGCATGGAGCAGGGGCGTGTTCCCCAGGATTTGTGTGGGGTGGGTCGGGCTCAGGCTGTGCTCCGGGTGGAAGGTGCTGGGAGCGGGGGCTCTGCCCCTCCACGCTTCTTGCCAGCTGGTGCGGGGCCAGAGCGAGACTGAGCCACTGCACTGCCTCTGGACAAAGCAAGTGCAGCGGTGGGAGCTGGCCCAGCCTCCCTGTGCCTCCTGGACAAGCAGCAGCTTTGCCCCAGCTAGGCGAGCAGCAACAAGGCATGGAGCAGGCATGTGCAACCTGAAGGGCAAGCAACGGGGGGGCATAACTCCTGCTCCCAGTGCCTTCTGCCCAGAGCACAGCCCCTGCCCTGCCCGCCCCACGCAGATCCTGGGGCACACGCCCCCACCCCATGCCCTCCCGGACTAGCAGTGGGAGCAGCAGCAAGAGCCGCCAGACAAGCTGCCACAGCAACAGCCCCCAGATGGACGGCACGAGCCACCCCACCCCCTCCCTGGGCAGCACTCACCCTAGCCCTAGTCCTAGCCCCAACCCGAATACCTCCCTCGCTGCAGGACACTGATCTTCCCCCCCACACCCCTTCCTTCCCCCCTCCCCATCACCACAACAGACTTACCAGCTGGACCTAGCTGTGTCAACCATCATAAAGATGAAAACGGCTTGGGAACCTCAAAACAGGGTCTCAGTTTACAAATGTCATAAATGCCATTTGTTGCAACTCGAAGTCGTAAGTCAAGGACTGCCGGTATCTAATCTAAACTTCCTTTGTTGCAACATGAAACCATTGTTCCTTGTTCTGTCATCTACCACCTCTGTGACCAGACTAGCTGCATCCTCTCTGGAATCACTCTTCAGGTAGTTGAAGGTTGCTATAAAATCCCCTCTCAGTCTTGTCTTCTGCAGACTAAATAAGCCCAGTTCCCTCAGCCTCTCCTCCCAAGTCATGTGTTCCAGCCCCCTATTGTTCCAGCCCCCTATTTTGTTGTCCTCCACTGGACTCCCTCCAATTTATCCACATCCTTTCTGTAGTGGGGAGCCCAAAACTAAACACAGTACTCCAGATACCTCACCAGTGCTGAATAGAGGGGTATAATCACTTCCTTTGACCTGCTGGCAACACCTACCAATGCAGCCTATGCCGCTAGCCTTCTTCGCAACAAGGGCACACTGCTGGCTCATATTCAGCTTACTGTCCACTGTAACCCCCAGGCCCTTTTCTGTGGAGCTGCTACCCAGTCAGTCAGTCACCCACCAGCCTAAACTGGTGCATGGGATTTTTCCGTCTTAAGTGCAGGACTTTGCATTTGTCCCTACTGAACCTCATGAGATTTCTATTGGCTCAATCCTCCAATTTGTCTAGGTCTCTCTAAATCCCAACTCTACCCTTCAGCATATCTACTACTTCCCCCAGCTTGGAGTCATCTGCAAACTTGCTGAGGGTGCACTCTGTGCTATCTTCCAGGTCATCGGTGAAGACACTGAACAAAACCAGTCCCAGGACCAACCCCTGGGGCACTCCACTCGGTACCAGCTGCTAACTACACATAAAGAGCCATTGACTACTACTCTCTGAGACTGATGATCCAGCCAGTTTTCCATCCACCTTGGTCCACTCATGCAACCCATACCTCCTTAGCTTGCCTGAAAGAATGCTGTGGGAGACTGTATCAAAAGCCTTGCCAAAGTCAAGGTAATCCACATCCACTGGTCTCCCTATATCCACAGAGCCAGTCATCTCATCATTGAAGGCAACGAGTTTGGTTTGGCATGATTGGACCTTGGTGAATCCATGCTGACTGTTCCAAATCACATTTTTCTCCTCCAAATGCTTAGAAATGGATTCCTTGAGAATCTGCTCCATGATTTTTCTGGGGACTGAGGTGACATTGACTGGTCTATAGTTCCTTAGATCCTCTTTTTTCCCCCTTTCTTAAATATAGGCACTATATTTTCCCTTTTCCAATCATCTGAGACCTCTCCCAATTGCCATGAGTTTTCAAACATGATGGCCAGTGGCTCTGCAACCACATCAACCAACTCTCTTAGCACCCTTGGGTGCATCCCATCCGGCCCCATGGATTTGTATAAGTCCAGATTTTTAAAATATTCCCTAACCTTCTTTTGCCACTGTTGGCTGCTCACCTCCTCCCCAAACTGTGCTGCCAGGTGCAGTAGGCTGCGAGCTGCCCTTGCTTGTGAAGCTGACACTATATCGGAAGTTGGTTTCGAGTGAATTGTCTTATCAGAACCACATGACACCTTACTTTGCACTCTGCAGTTTGTTGCTGATTAGCTTCAGGGTAGAATTTCAGGTGCAGATTTTGAGCTAAACAATCTCAAATGGCCTGAGACCAAGCTGCCTGATAAAGTGTCTATCTTTCCAGGAAACACTGCAGTCAGAGGTGTCTGAACTAGAGTCTCCTCAGACACCCCTGTGATAGTTTCTTGACTTAAGAATTCACTCTTCATCCACCTGGAATAACACATATCAACTGGAATAACCCATATGAACCCATATCACAGTATGCCTCAATGTACTTTTGAGCACTGCTTGGGAGGACAATGGAAGTGTACGTCTTGGCACAAGGTACTGGCTTCATATGTAAGATTTAAGGACATTTAATTTTCTTAGTGGGTGAGAGTCTATGTGATAGAAGCAACAGAAAAAAAAAGCCCAGCTTTTTAAGATGCGTGAATATATGGTGTTCTAGAAATCTAATGACAAATACCAAATTTGCAATGCTTTGCATTCTCTAAACTTACTTTGTATATACTGACAAAAGATCCTAGAAAAGCGCCAAGCTGGAAGTTTTCCTTGTTGTAGAAGAGAGAAAGCAGCCGGGAAGGTTTTGTAAACAGATGCCTGAATGCGGATGGGATTCGAAGGCAGCACTGGATCAGGTATCCAACACTAAACATTCTAATGAAGCCCTAGAGAAAATGTTAAGAAATGGCAACATTAGGTAAAAAAAAAAAAAAAAAAAAAAAAAAAAAAGAGAAAAAAGGGGGGGGGGGGGAGGAGAAGCAAAAAAAAAATGGGAAAAAACAAGTAAAGTAATCCTGTATTATTGATACGCAGTCTATTAAAACACCACTTTGCAGATATTATCTAAAATGTACTCTACTTCTTGGAACCTGAAGCTTGATTTTTGACCTCATTTCCCTGAAAAATAACAAAAGAAATAATAAAAAAAAAAGCTAGACTGACTGCCTTTCCTTTAATTTGAATGGATGTTTAAACAGCCTCAGAGGACATGCTCTGTTTATCTCTGATCCAAGGTTCTGTTCCTTTAAACAGTCCTGATGGCTTAATTTCCAAATTATTCTTCCCTCCCTTTCAACCACAAATGGGATTGGAGAGGAAATCAATGCTGTAAAAATTATGCTACAGACTCAAAACCTGGAAGAAGTACTAATGGAGGAAAAAAAACATTCTTAACAACAAAGTCTTTTTAGAGACTGAGAATTAGAGCGACACTGAGTCCTTGGCATTGAATCTTACAAATAACCAATTTTGGAGGCTTTGCGAAATCTGCTGCGAGAGAAAGCTCAAAACCAAAAGGGAACTCATGTGCAAAACTGTTCCAAAGGCTCATGTGGGATTTTTCCTACCCTGAAAAGCTGATACACTTCTGAGAGTCTCTTCTATAAAGTGCCATAAATAGGTTGATGCTGGTTCTCCCTCAAATCTTTCTTTGGCTAGTTTTCGCAGTGGTTTCAAAAGCTTATTATACTTATTCCTAAACCCACAGGTGACTTTCTCTGAAAAGTCTGAATAAAATGTGCCCATTCTTTTTTAAAACACAATCATACAAATGTGAAGAAAAAATGTTTTTCATCCTTTTGTTTAAATGCTTTTCTGCAGTTTGGTAACTTCGGTTCAATTTTTTTGTTTATAGCATTCTGAAAAAGCAAAAACAGTTTTTGGTTTGAAGACATTTCATTTGAAAACAGCTGAAAATCACGTGCTTGCTACTGGCAGTACATTCTTACTAAATTAGGCAGGCACTAAATGTGCACGTTTTTTGCCATTTGTTTGTAAGACTATTCTCAGAATCATCAAGATAATTCTCACTGTCATTACAATGGGTAGAAGTCTGGAATTAACAATCATCCAATTTATGAACTAAAATCTTTCTGTAGATCAATCCCTTGTTAAGGCTGCTTGCAGATGCTAAAAAAACCTCCAAAAACCAGTGCTTTACTTTAAACTTGGCATGCTCCCATGCTGAGCCCAACGCATGCCCAGAAGAGCCAGCATGGTAGTTGTACCTGGCTTCCCCAGCCTCTGTAAAGATTGGGCGCTTTAGTGGGGCTTTTATCTAACAGCTGATTGAAACAGCTCCATAGAGCCAGTCACATCATGACAGAAGGCAATCAGGTTGGTCAGGCATGACTTGCCTCTGGTGAATTCATGCTGGCTGTTCCTGATCACCTTTTTCTCCTCCAAGTGGTTAGAAATGGATTCCTTGAGGATCTGCTCCATGATTTTTTGTGGGGACTGAGGTGAGGCTGAATGGTCTGTAGTTCCCTGGATCCTCCTTCTTCCCTTTCTTAAATATGGGCACTATGTTTGCCCTTTTCCAATCATCAGGGACCTCTACTGAACGCCATGAGTTTTCAAAGATGATGGTCAATGGCTCTGCAATCACATCAGCCAACTCCCTCAGAACCCTCAAATCAAATAACGATATATGGTAGTGGAAGAGCAGTATTTATGCCATGGTATTTATACACATAAATATATTGTGCAATTTTACAATGTTGATAGTAAACAGGCAGTACCCAAAGGTCTGTATGAACTCCAGGTTTCCCTCTGATTTCATTTTTAAGGATAAGTAAATTGTATTTTCTAAAGTGTTTATGGCACAACAGTGTGTGACTGATCTTATAATGAAAATCTCTACCACAAGCTTATGTGCTATATGGAGTTAGTGATATTCTACAAAGTAATTCAGATCTAAATTTAAGGATTAATTTAGATCATTGCATAAAAGTATAGGAAGCTTCACAATAGTCTTAATAATGCAATTATGCCCCAGCCATATCTAACAACAACATTGCTGCAAAGATTATATTCCTACCTCAATACTTGTATCTTTTCACCCCTGTACTCAGTCCCCCTTCTCCATCACATCACCCACAGATGCTTCTCTTTTCTTTCAATGCCAGTTGGACTGCTGGCATGCTACGACCACTGCTAATGATGGTGACCAATCTGGTCTCAATGTACTCCCCAGTCTGTCCAAATACATCTGTGGTCTGTTGTCTCACACTTAAAGTGTAACTTCTTGGGGGCATGGACCAGATGGTTATCTGTTTGCATCGTGCCTAGCATAGGGGGTCCTGGTCCATGACTATGGTTATGAACAGGTGCTATATTTGTATCAGGAGTGTACAGCCATTCAAGTGTTTTTTTTGCAAAAAAAGAACTGTCTCTTCCATGAAGGAATGAGAACACTTCTAACAAGCAAGATCTCTCTTCCCTTGGGAAACTTGAACAGCTGTAGGTTTCTGAGGACCCCAGTAGCCGGCAGCGCTCCACTCTACCTCTGTCTCTCCAAGGGAGAGAGATAGGCCCTCAGATGGACCTGTCTCAAACCAAGACCGCTCCAGCTGTGCTGCCTCCTGCTCTGAGTGCAGCTCCAGGTCACGTGGACAAGTCCAGCTGCAAGAGAATTCCCCTACCCCATATGCCACAATGAGGGGGAACTTAAGTGGGGTAAGTGAGGCAGCAGCTCCCTATCACCCGCTGCTTAGAGAGTTTGCCTTTGAGGCACCTTTGTTGCTCTCCATCCAGAAGGCTGGAACATTTGAACTCTCTGCTCCAAATTTTTCAGCGCTGACAGCTCTTTCTCTTTATGCCCACCAAAAGAAGGGCTTTTTAGTTCTGATGGATTAAAACATGACATGGTATAATAGTCAGGCTTTAATCTATACTGGTCCCATTGAGAAACATTGGTTTGTTGGTATAGGGTCCTAGCTTTCATAAGCAACGAACAGCAATTAGTAGCATGATGTACTTAGCTTAATAAGAAATCAAGGGAAAATAACATAACATATTTACAGAGCATTTCCATTATCTACAGGAAGTGGTATTGTTTTTACATCAGCTAAGCAAGGTGCCAAATCACACCCCTTAATCTCCATACAAAGACTGAAAGAAACGAGAAAGGAAGAAGAGAAGGAATTAAATCTGCATATCATATCTCTGCACAAGAACAATGTATACTGTAGAAATGTTGCTATATGAGACTAAAAAGCCAGAAATAGTGATGCAATAAGATGACATATCTCCAAAAATCACTGAATAATCCATTTTTAAAACAGATTCTTTAAAAAAATTAATAAACAATATCTTGGCAGTATTATAACTCATGTTCAAAAATATCTGCATTGATTCCAGTTAGCACGTAAACTGAATGACATGTGTTGTTATCTGCTACAATGGCACAGACAAAATAGCACTTATCACATGTATAAGTATGCTGGCTAATGTATACCCATTCACTACAATTCTCACCTCACCTATTCATATTACAGGATAGCACCGACTCAATCAAAGGAGATAGGAAAGATGAAGATGTTCATGAAGTATTGCTACTGGGCTCGAAAGTGCTCTTCAGAAATTTGCAGTGGCAAGAAACAAACAACCCCCGCCCCCCCACCCTGCCCCAACCACCACCACCACCCCAATTCTTTCAAATATGAAGTAGTAGTAGGCAACTGTTGATCCTTTTGGATCATGGTGTATGCATGAGAGTTCACCATGACCTTTGACAGGAATATAGAGGAGTGGAGGGTGCCCAGACCTTCCCCGCCCCTCTCCCCCCACCTTTAGACCATTGAAGGAGAATCCAAAGACCAGACTGAGTCTGGATGTTTGATGCCTTGATGACTGTAGTTATATAAATCTTAAGTGAAATCTATGAATATTAGATAGTAAATCAACTACTATAGCATGAAAATAAAATGTTACTACATTAATGGCTGACTTATTCAATTAAATATAGAGCAGGAGAAAGAAACAGCCTGGAATGACCATGTTAGCACAGCTATAGCAATACAAATTGTTCAGCAGTAAGGAGAAATGTAATAGAGGGGGAAAATTTGGTAATAAGTACTTAATTGGAACAACATCACATTAAAAAACTATGCTACTGCTTTGTCAGTAGGCATCTATTACTGATCAGAGGTGATCTTAGAAAAAGTGCAAACCTACGTGTGTATGTATTAGTCCAGAAAACATCCCACTCTCTTAGATAGCCAAAGATCTTTAAAATGCTGTATGTGTAAATACGAAGGATGCGATTCCATGCACGTATTTTTACTTATGCTTTGTAAATAAAAAGATATAAACTTGCAAGGTGCAAAATCAAAGAAATTCAGAAAAATGGTGGTTTCCTTTGTTAGCCATACTGGCTAATGGGAACATCATCTATTTCCTTAGTTACGAAGAACCTTAAAATAGTTGCGAGAGGCAAGGATTTCTTAAGGTGTTATATTTTATTAAACCAAAGGTATAGTTGGGATAGAATTACACAAGCTTTTGAATGCAAGTATTTTTCGTGAGAATGCATTCAAAAGCTTCTCCAACTCTAGCCCAACTATGCAGCCGAGCCAATAAAAGATATCACGCTAAGAAATCCTTACCTCGTGTAATTCCTCGACCATCACAGCTATATCATTGTAACACTACTTTAACCAGTTGATCATTCTGCTGGCTGAACCTCCTGACCCTCCACCTTAAAACAAAGCAGCATGGGCTCCATCATTATTGGGGAAGGGAGATTCCTTTTCTTAAAGAAATTATACTCTAGAGAAAATAAAGTCTTGTGGGTGTATTTATAGCTGTCACGGCTGTGCATGTATCACTTTGCACTCAAGACCTATGGGGATTTGGATGAGATTATAAGGGTCAAAAGGCAAAGCGTGTACAAACTAATGACTAGGGCAGCAGTCTGCTGCAAATGTGCATTTATAGTGAAATTCAACCTAATGAATGAAGAGACAACATGAAAAGACCTTTGTATCACTTAAGCCCGTAATGTAGGCTTACTTATGCACATAAGCCCCATGAACCTGCACAAACCCTTTGCATTAGGGTGAATGTAACTATTACAGAGCTTTCTAAAATCAGCAGTCTCCATCTATCCACTGGGAGATATATCTTCATCCATATACAAATTCCACATTTTTGGTGAATGCCTGATGCATTTTGGCCCCTGTTTTGAATGTTATCTTTCTTGGAGCCTTAAACATTCATTTCTGTAGCCAGAAATTGACAGGGAGGGATCTTGGAAGCTGTACCAAAGCTACAAAGGGCTGTTAAACTGAATGGCTCTTGCCTATGAACAATAGGGTTGGCTTTTGGAAGAACCATTGTCTTTGTGAAAGAAGCCAGTGGGATATGGTCTCAGAGAAATTCCCCAACTGCCACAGAGAAGCAGAACAGTTATCAAAGGATGTTTTAAAAGAGAAATATTCTTCAAGCAAAAGAACAAAACCCCAAAACACCTTTCACCACCAGACATAGGATAATGGAGGCCAGGCAGGTGAAGGCAAGAGGAAATTTTCTCTCTAGTAAGGATACTGATAAGAAACAGGGACTCATAAAAGAAGACAAGATAAGACAAAGCAGTATGCATTCAGGATTTTTTTTTGTTTTCCACAGTTTTGCAGCTGTTTTGTGTTTGTTTAAGAGTTGAGTGTGTGCATATAAGAAATTCTGTTTCTAAATGACTTCACTAAGAATGTGTCTAAACAACATGGGAAGGCTGACATCCTAGTTTCAGAACGACTGGATTGTGGGGGAGCCACTGCCTAAGAAAGGTGCTGGACAAAATATCCATACTTGGGAGCATCTTTGAGAGACCCAAAGTAATGAGTTTGTAAATGGCACAACCACCTGGGCAGTACTAGTTTCCCAATTCTGAACCAGAATGAAACCAAGATCTTTTGAAACTTTTTCAGAAAAAAATCAGAGAAAGAAACAGAGCGAGAGAGAGTGATCGCACCCTCAATATACTCGAGAGGTTGGACAGTCAGGGCCCTTTCCTGTGATGTGGAGTGCTCACTTTCAGGTCCTTGCTCTGTTATCCTCCCGCATCCCAGGAGAGTGCCCTAACCACCAATCTATTAGCTAGTCTTGGGTGAGTCTTTCACCAATCTTTTCTATTAACCACTGCCCCCTTTGTATAAATAGTTAAAAATTCACTGGAATAGGACTTCAAACCTGAGTGTCTCACATACCAGTTAAGTGCCCAAAAACAAACGGTTATAGTATTGCTGTTTCTATTTCAATTAACATTTAGTTATTTATACATAGAGGAACAGTTCCAAGTGCAGAGATTTAGAGGCATAGCCTGATAGTTAGTGCACTCACCTAGGAGTTAGGACACTCAAGTTCAAATACCCTCAAAATGTTAGAAGTCTCTCCAGATGAAACCTGTGTCAAAGCTGGTACGTACCAGTGAGGCTGCTACTATAAATAATATTGCTTTTGACAAATTGATACAGTCTGAAAAACTTGACAGTGTGCAACCAAAATGGACTGGTTTCCATTTGGAGGTAAGGGCATGACAAACATTACAAAACATGTTATATTGTGTTAGTGCTTAGATGTCAACCACCTTATACACTGTCCAAAATACAAAGCAAATGAAAGCTTCTCTTCCCCACAAAAAATGTAAAGGTCTGAAGAGGAGACCTAATTGACAAATGAAAAGTTGAGTTGATGGAAGAGATAGGTAATGACAAGAATAAGTCATATGTAATTATTAGCCAACTTGGAGCAGTAATCACAATTTGCCACATGCCGACAAAAGTACCACCCCAGTATCAATTTGCAGCTAGGGTATTTTATTTCTGGGAATCCTGAAGAACTATGAAACTGTGTTTAGTATATGTGTGCACCATGTCCTCCACCTCCATTTCCTCCATATTTGCATTCCATCTTAATTTAGGTCCTGACTGTGCAAACCCTTTACCAAAGTTATGAAAGCTTGACTAATGTCATGTTCCACAGAAAGTATAATAATTAAAGGTTTTGTACATTAGGTATCAAAATTTGAAAAATTGGACTAAATAATTATATGCTGGTTCATTTTTTCATTCTATATGAAGATGGGGAATGGCATTTTGTGTAAGTTATGCTAATTGTGTTAGTTTAAAATGTTCAGACTTTGTGTGTGTACTAGAAGGTATTACTGGGATTCTGAAGATTTTGCAAATATTTTATTGCATACACTAGTCTTCTAGCCTCTAGAGCAAAACACTCATAGACCTGAATGAAACTTTAGTGCTTGATATGATGTTTTGCTGAAACCGAAACAAAACACTATGCAACTTAATGGTGCACCAAAATATTTCAGTTTAAAAAAAAAAGTAAAAAAATTGACACTCACTGAATAACAGGTAAACTAACTTGTATAAAATATTAAAATTGCTATTGCCCTTTGCTCTACCCTAAGTTTAGCTACTCGTATCCTTTAAAAACACCAAGGAATTAATTCCAACAGGATGTAAAATTTTAATGAAAAAGGTAGGGGGAGTTTTATGGCAAAATATAGCCTCTGAAAATAAATGAATATATAAATGAAAATAAATGAAATAAAAATGGCAAAATATCGCCTCTCAACTGTCCATACAGCCATATCTGCTGCTCCAGAAATAAAAAAAAAATGTCAGCTATTAAGAGATTGAGCTCTGCTGGAGTCTCACCAAAAGTAAAGAACGTATGGCAGGTGGCACCACCTGTGCCAAACTAATTCCAGCTAACACAATCTCCTCCACACAGTACTCCCCTGAAAAAAAATGCACTGACCATGTTATGAAGAAGGATAATTTATGCCAGCAGACACAGACAGCTCCCCCTGTGTATAGCAACTGTGGACAAATCTCCCATTACCCTTACCCCTTAAAATAAATTAATAGGCAAGCAAGTCCAAAATCAAATACCAGTGTGCCAGATATGCACAGCTGTATGTGTGCTGCTACAGATCCATCTGATGAACACAGCACATTCCAGGTACTTTATTTAGGGTGGAGCTGCAAGAAGGATCAGTTACACAGTCTGTCACATAATTAAGCAAATCTCTTGATGATCTGTTTTTCATTCACTTTAAATTCTTGGTTGATTTTAATTGATCCCAAAGTCTCAGGAACTCCAAAAGGGCTAACTTAGAAGGTGTTTTTCACAAACTTGTCAGCTCTATAATGGAAAAAGCATCATCAACAGGCTTCTTCCCCATTTCTTACTTATCTATATTTATTCTGTGCTAAACTTCATGTTTTTACCAGTCTCAGTCCATGTTTATGAATTTGCCTTTTTTTGTACTTACTTTAACGCAATATGAGATGCAGTTATCTTCAAAGTGTTTACAGCATCTATGCCTTGGTCCATGTTTGCACCTGCAAAAGTAACAATGAAATCTGGATTAACTGGCAGCTGTTTTTGTGTAACTGACAGGAGACTTGGTAAATTTTTCCTTTCTAGATGCATATAAAATATTTCCTTGCCACTAATTAATTTGTAGTTGCATATGGTAAGGCATCGTGTATCTTTAGGATGCCATCAAGGGGCTGTGAAAGTTAATGCTTCCCTAATTCATATTTCTGAAATATATATGTATATGTTTTGACCCTGTACAAAGTTTTGCACCCGGAAGCTTCTCCACTATGGTTTATAAAGAAGAATTACAAATCATTCCACTCCACGGACAGAGAATTGCAGCAGGGCTCATCTACACTGTCTCATGATCAATGACCTCCCCTTAACTTCTATACTGGGAGTGGTTTTTCTAACTCTAGTTCACTAGCTGTGCCTTGTTCCCTCCTACACTATCCTAAAGGCTACAGGGGAACAATGCAAAACAGTTTTGCAGCTTAGTAGATACAGAGGTCCTTCCTAAGACCTCTTCATACTATGTTGATTCCAGCATGGTGAAAGTGTGCTAGCTTCACTGTGGTATGGATTTTATGAGACTCCTACTTGGGGTCAAGGATTTGACCCCAAGCATACATAAGATAACATTTAAGGGAGAGGGGTATACAGACACAGACATAGAATTAAAGGAAAGCAACTCTGAACAAGATTTTTAAAAAGTATGTTTTCCTGTAGCCAAGAACTTCTGGTTTAATGCAAAACAAATTAGACAATGTATATACTGTGCCAAATATCTTGGAAGCTTTGAATCATGTATTGTAAAGTATATTGGCCATAAATCATCCATGAGGTCAGTTAATGTAACAAAAATTGTAATGAGAATGTGATCAAGTTACAGGCATTTAGACTCAATTATATCTGAAAAGAAACATGTGGAAGAGAAACTTGAGAGCATATTAGGATTAACAATTGAATGTTTTTTGAATGCATGGGAGCAGGGAGTTTGGAAATCCCAAAGGAAGTACACTCCTCTCATTTGTCAAGCATTTAGCTTCTAGCATTCAATAAACATGTTTTTGCTGGAGGGGCTACTGACCAGGTCTTGCCATCTTAGTTCAAGCAAGGGGTATTTAAAATGAAATACGTCTACAGAACTCAACTGGGAGATCCTGTGATTGATACTGCCCAAATGGCTTCTAGCTATCACGTAGCTTGTTGCTGGAGGTAACTGTTTCCTTCCGTTTGAGGGGCTTTCACCCACAAAGCAGCCTCTTCCAGAACATGTTACACTGAGAAAACTTCCTTTCTACTGCATGTAACGACAGACCTTGGAGGCTGCCCTAACAGCACATAGTTGTAAGGGACAAAGTTGGAGTTATGTAAGGGCACTTTTGAAAGACTAATAATTTAAGTACAGCAATTTAGAGGTAAGATGCAAGAGGCAAAGATAGTAAAAGTCTTTTTTTTTTCTTTAAAGTAGATACCCGTCCATTTCTTTGGAATAACCCACTGTTTTCTTGGAAAGCAGGTTACTGATGCCTCCTTTCAAAGTTCTAAAAAATTGAGTTTTATCTTTCAATAAGCACAGTGCTACATATGACACATGTGACTGCTGCAATAGGCAACAGTATGTCATCATGGTATTCTTAAAGGATAAGTGGGAGAACAACCACATGGTTCAAAACAACACGGTTAATTTCAAATAATTTAGGATCAATTTCCTTTCTAGCTGAGCTGTAATTATTACAGGCACTTCTGAAGTATAACTTTTATTTAGGGGAAATTTTACAAAGGTCCCAGAATGATTTAGAAAATGATTCAGGCTTCTAAGAGACCTTACTTTTGATAATTTGACCTTAAGTTCATTCTCAAAAACAGCTCAGGTATTTAAAACAAACTCCAGACTAGTAAACTAGACCCACAGGCAGGACTTAAGAAGAAGCATTCAGATATATGTATTACAAAAAACCCCAATCTGGAACGCCCATGCTTCAGTGGCCAGAGAACCCCACAGGTGTCTACACTTGTTCGGCATCTACATCTTGAACAGAAAAGATCCCTAGGTATCTAAACTTAGGTTTCCATATATTTGCAGAAGTCTTCTCACTTAAGCAGCTAGACACTAAACTTGACTCTGAAGCAAACTCTTAGCTGGGAGGGGGAGTCCTGGGTTCTGGTCCTTGCCACCAGGGTTATTTCTGTGTTTCATTCATAAGCAGTCCAGGAAGCAGAGACTAGAACTGATATTTTCCTACTTCCCAGAAACTAGTCCTCCAAAGCCTATACAACTGCTTTTACAATTGTAATATAATAAAAGGCTTAGTGCTTCCGTCTGTCTGTCTGTAATGCTGGGGGCCAACTACGCATGCACTCCAGAGAGGGCGGGTGGCAATTGGCTGCATGGACCCACCCCCTCAGGCAGGGAGTCCTTAGGCTTTAAAATTGTATTGACTTGCCCCGGCTCCTGTCAAAGCTGATAAGAGACAGGGGCAATAGGACCCAGGAGAAGCGTCAGCAGGACCGAGCAGCCTAGTCCGCCCCACCCCCAGGAATTGCACTCCCTGCCTGCTGGCACTGTGGTACATGGCCCTGCTGCATCACCGAAGCAGGGAGCATGGAGCCGCCAGTAGGGTGTCTGTGTGTCTGGCGTGGGTGTGGGTGTGCAGCCAGGGGCAGAGTGGGTGGGTGGATGCAGTTGTGGAGCCAGAAGAACAGTGTGTGGGTGTGGTTGTGCAGCCAGGAGCAGGGTGGGTGGGGGGGTGTGGGTGTGGAGCCAGGGGCAGAATGGGTGGGTCGATGTGGTTGTACAGCCGGAGGCAGAGTGGGTGTATGCGTGGGTGTGGTTGGACAGCCAGGGGCAGAGTGGGTGGGTGGGTGTGGAGCCAGGGTTAGGGTGGGCAGGTGTATTTGTGGAGCCAGGGGTAGAGAGGGTGGGTGTGGCCAGGGACAGAGTGGGAGGGTGGGTGTGGATGTGCAGACAGGAGCAGAGTGTGTGTGCATGTAGCCAGTGGCGGAGTCCACAGGGGTGCGTGTGTGCTCATGAGTCCCACACACACTCCACACCATACACATGCCCCCACACTCCCCTTGCACTGCCATACACACAGACCCACACATGCACACCCCCTCACACAGCCCAGGTACCCCCCCCACACACAGCTGCCCACAACCCCCATACCCATCCACACCCCACATATCCACACACACCCCCACACATGCTCCCTCACCCCATACACCCACAACCCCCCACAAACCTATACCCACCCCTCACAATATACAAGAGTAAAACTTCATTTGAAGCTATTGTGCAATCCCCTCTATGTACACTACACAAACACATGTAAATCGGGACAAAAATATTTTTTGAAATCAGATTAATGAATGCTGTACATGTTTCCTTTTCATAATATAATTTGGTATTTTTCTGGTTCTAAGATGGCACAACCCCTTGCTGAAAGGAGTATTTCTGGGGGAAGGGGATGGACTTCTGGTGGTAAAGGTCAGGGGTAAGAGGGTGCGACTTCCGGTCACAAGATGGCAACCAGGGGGTGGGGCACCTGCCAAGGGGCAGAGGTACCCATGTGGCCTTTGACAGCTTGCCAAAACTCAGTAAGTGGCCCTCCACCCAAAATAACTGCCTGCCCCTGGTTTATGTGGCCGGCCCCAAAGCATGAGTGATCGGGGACATGTAACCTCTCCCAGAAACATTCTGTCATTTATGATGGGCCATCAGCTAGTATATATATATAACCCTTGTCCTAGAAGAACATTCCTGTTTTGACCGAGGGAGGCACATAAGCTCTTCCTTTCTCTAAATGAGCAGCCTCTACAAACTCTACAACTCCCTACATGCAGCAAACGGGTGCGTCTGAACTCCTGCCTCTAGGCCTCAATATTCTACTCTTCGGATCCAACTCTGCCAGAGCGGGGAGTGACGCAGAGGAGATGGACACTCCTACCTTCTGTCTAGTAGCCAGTGATTATGGCTCTAGTCCAGGAAGTCTGATGGCCACCTACAAGTTTATCAGGGGTGACCACCAGCATCTGGGGGAATGTTTGTTCACCAGAGCGCCCCAAGGGATGACGAGGTCGAATGGTCACAAACTACTTCAAGATCGTTTCAGGCTGGACATAAGGAAGAATTTCTTTACTGTCCGAGCCCCCAAGGTCTGGAACAGCCTGCCACCGGAGGTGGTTCAAGCGCCTTCATTGAACACCTTCAAGATGAAACTGGATGCTTATCTTGCTGGGATCCTATCACCCCAGCTGACTTCCTGCCCTATGGGCGGGGGGCTGGACTCGATGATCTTCCGAGGTCCCTTCCAGCCCTGATGTCTATGAAATCTATGAAGTCAAAGACCTGGTTTCCAGGCACCCAGGGGCAGATCCAGGGGTGGTGCAGCACCACGTGTCACAACTCTCAGAGCTCACTGGCACTTCAGCGGAGCTCCTGCTAGGAGCTTCATATGTGCTGCAAGCTGTACACGGTCACCGCTGGGTGGTGTGGGCTCTGCCCGGGATCCCTCCTTTTAAGCAGCTCTGGAGCATATTGCGCTCTTCACTCTTCCCCTCCGTTCTCCCCTCTCCCTGCTGCATTCAGGAGCAAAGAAAAGGAGAGCTTGCTTGCATCCAGGATCGCAGAAAGGGGCTGTGGCTACACTCCCTTCAGCTGAGGCACGTGTGCAATAAACTCTCTTCATTGTGAATGTGCCCGGGCCCAAGGGGGTGTGATCACACCCCTGTCACCACAATCCTGGACCTGGGCTGCCTACTCTACAGGTATCTGAACACTTATCTTCCACTTCCCATAAACCAATAGGACTGGGCAGGAAGCCCTCACTACCAAGCTGTGTGGGGGCACACAGGGGTCAGAGAAAGAGTGAAGCAAGATGAAGCCTGACTCTATACCCTCCTATTGTGTTTGAAAAATAGTTTTCCTACTGCATATTACACCTAGTATTCTTTTACCCCATCTAATATTTATAGTCTACTAATGAACTGCAAAGTGGAAAGATTTTTCTGAAATTAACAAAACAGACAGACTGGATCTAGTAATTAACTAAGAAATGAAGTACAAAAGGGCAGCAATGTTTATAAATAAGCCCTGGGAAAAGTGAAAGGGAAAAAATGCTTTGAACTATTATATCAAATATGATGTTGGTGCCTAATAAATCATAAGCCTGAGATTTTCTAAGTAGCCTGCATTCAGGAGATGGATCAGATGACCTTTAAAGGTCCCCACCAGGCCTATTTTTTCCCGAAGTCTGTTCTTATGTAATAATATTAGGTGTCTAGCTCCCACTGAATTTAGGTTCCCGTGAAAATCCACAAATAATTACAACACTAACAATAATTGTAGTAAGTACATCATGACTCTTCTGTCTAGTTAGACTGGTAATTGTGAGGACCTGTACAACATTTATGACACACTATATCCAGCCATTATGCTACTGAATGACAGAACTACATAGTAAATGTTACTCTAGCTTCTCTAAAATTATAGCATATATACAGTATGATTTTACATTCCCTTCTTAGTGAATCAAGTATAATAAGAAATATTAAACCAACAAGTTCACTTGAATCCAAGATGAGGTCCCCGTTACTCCTCCTCCAATAAGCATAAGGGAACAAGAAGCCTTGTCCAGGATTTCAGTATCACCCTGGGACAGGCATCAGCTTAGCTCCAGCTTTGGCCCTGGGTCCCAGCCTGAAGCCAGAGCTGAGCTGCTGCCTGCCCTGGGCTGGAATAGCTCATTTGGCAGGGGAGGGGCACATGACCGGACTGGGTGAGTGCAGGGAGGCTGTGGGGAGGAACCTGCAACCTCACCACTTGGCCCTCTGCCTCTGCCTGTTCACCACCTCTTACTCCTTTCTCCCCAGCTGCCTCCTCCCACCTTACCTTCTGCTTCACCTCCGGTCCCTCCAGCCCCAACCCTGCCTGGCCAGGAGGTATCGCCACTTCGCCCTGGCTGGGATCTCTCTGCTGCTGACTGTCCCAGATCTGGAGCAGAGCTGCAGCAGAAGGCAAGGGTGGAGGGGAGACAATGATGCAGGGGTGGGGCAGTCCGGGGCTGGGTGGGCTGGGACCATGCTGCTGACTGTCCTGAGGAGCAGAGCTGCAGCATAATGTAAGAAGAGGCTGGAGGGAAACAGGCACAATGTGCAAGGGATGGGGGGGTCAGGCTGCAGGGGAGAGCAGGGGATGGAGGTGGCAAGAAGTTGGGGTGCAGGCACCGGGTGCAAGGGGCAAGCGGGGGGGGGAGGGCAGGCTTTGCGGAGGTAAGGTACAGGGGAGCAAGAGGAAGGCATGCAGCCCTTCATCCCAAGCTGCTGCTTTCCTCGCCACAGCAGTGGGAGCCAAGGCGGGTAGAGGGGGAATGAAATTAAGACAATCTTCCACTAATTACATTCTATACTTGGAAAATTATAACAAATTTATAATTTTCCTTGTATAGAATCTAATTATTAGGGGGTTATTTAAAATTCAAAGTTGTCTTGGATTAGGTAAATACAGTAACACTATTGAATAACAGATCTTACTTCATTTACTTATTAAAATAAGATTTAAAAAAAAATCACCTGAATGCTAATTAAAGATAGCTTAGTTACACAAACTATATAAACTAGAGTAACCAAAAAAAGTGTCACTTAGAAATTTTTCTTTCCTTTTGACTCACACTTTGTCAACAAGTTTTTTTGTCACAGTCATTATATTCATTTGCCGCAATACATCTTCACAGGGCTTTATCTTTCTTTGTGTTTTTGAAAATGCTGCTTCTGGTGAAAATGAATGTGTGGGAATTTCTTCTTTTCCTACAATGAACCTGGAAGGAAACCAAAAAGAGAAATGATCATTGTAACTGTTGTATATAAATATATGTAACTATATATATAGTATATACACACCTTTTATGTACAACTGTGTGTGTGTGTGTGTGCGCGCGTGCGCACACGTGTGTAAATGGGATTTCAGTTGCTCCTGATTGTGCAAAGCATTGATCCTGTGGAGATGGAAAGGCTTGTGTCCCAGTTTGAAAAAAATCAGTATACTGACTTCTATTTATTCTCATACACATAAATACAAAACTCTTTAAAAATGAAATTAAAGAAAAAACCTGAAGAGTGCAAACAAACACTGCTCTTATAATGGAAAACACGAGATGAGAAAGTGAAGATGTTCATACAGGAGGTCTCCAAGAAGTTTCAGAAGAAAAGAGAGTAACACTGGAGCAGATGATCAGGACTGTATTTGTAAAATGGGTACTGCGTGTTCATTTTGGAGTATGTTAAAAGTATATATAGAGTGTTCCCCTAAAGAAGGTTGCCTCATACCTGCCTCATGCTGTTTGTAATTTTGTTAAACTTTAAACAATTGAACTGAAGTTTTCCAAGCTTGGTCTCTAAGTCAGAATCATGGCCATCCCACACCCCCAAAATTTTTTGAGCAAAATATAATAGCCATTTCAGAAAATGTAGGAAGTGAAAAATAAGCAACTTTTGCAATATGAACAAACAGCCTTTTCTGAACAGCTCGTTTTCAAAGGGGTTTGAACAAAGAATATAAAATCTGGGAGGGAGATGAGTCAGCCTTTTTCTGTCTCCCAGGATCTAAGACCAGATCTGGCCAAGCTATAAGCCATTAAAATCAATATTGGGAAGCGTGAAGGAGAGGTTGCCAGGCACTTAACTTGTGAAATTCTGAAAGTTTTGACTTTGACATTTCATCTGCACCATGAGGGCTCTCATGCTCTATTGAGAGTACTGTCTACATTGTAACTATAATAATAGTACAAATATGTGTAGTACAAAAGTATTGCTCACAAGGGGATGTAGATGGAACAGATCCTTTTATCTTTGGTCTGAGGAAGGAACAAAGGGTGAGGCCAGAAAACAGTGAATTCTAATTCTCAGAACAACTTTACCAATTCTGCGAACTTTGTAACACTTATTGAGCATGAGCTCAATACCTCCGTGTTAGATGGAGTCCCATTGTATAGAGGGAAAAGAGGTTTGGAAAAGTTATTCTAGTCTAGATAGGTTCTTATAACATGTTTATTACCCAAATATCTCTGAACCTTCCCACAGTGTATTAAGACACATGACTCAAATCACCTGAGGTGTATTCCCTTCACCTCCAATGAACTGCAAATTGAAGCAGTTTTTCTGAAATCAACAAAAAAAAGATGGGCTGAATCTAGTAATTAGCTTAGAGGTAAAGTACACCAGGGCAGCAATATTTATAAATAAGCCCTGGAAAGGGAGAATGGGAATAAAAATTTTTTGAACAATTATATCAAATATGCTGTTGGGTCCCTGTAGCAGAAGTTTGTGCAGCGAGCTGATATTTCAATCATATGTTTGGGGAGTATTTGTTTTTAAGGGTTCTTTTTTAATATCTTTGCTGGTATGTATTAGTGCTACAAGAAAGCAAGGCCAAGGAGCGTACCTTACATATGAAGCAGAAGCTGCTGTGGTTTGGGATGATACTTAAATGCTGCAGGATTTCATTCAGCAGCTTAAGACTGGCTCTGAGAGACCTCTATCCGCTACAGAGAGGAGTGTAGACATTGACCATAAAGTAACACCCTGGAGTTTTAGGTGATCCTTCAGAGCAGTGGTTTTCAAATGTCCTAAAGTCACAGGGCCTTTTCATATCACTTCTTCTGCCATGCAGTCCCTAGGACTGTGGGCCACGTGAGCTGATGCAGAGCCAGGTGATGCAGCCCAACAACGAAGGCGCACTGCCTTCCAGCCCACCCTGCCATTACCCTCAATCTCTCTGATGACCTACTGCAGAAGCCCAGGGCTCTGGGGAATACAGTTTGAATACCATTGCTTTAGAGATTAGGGCACAAGCCACAAATTACGTTAAAGACAAAGGTTTTTAACTTGTTTCAGAAGTCTATAGGAAGCCAAAGCACATTGTTGACACATGAATCCACATCTGCTGACTATTCACCTGCTTGTAGAGAAGTGAATCTGTGCAGGCCCTAATGATGTAGGTGCGGTTTCCCCATTACAAAGTAACTTGTGAAGGAACTGGGAGTAAAACCCAGGTTTCTGATACAGCAGAGCAAAGACTTAGCCACACACAGAGCTAGCCATAACCATCCCAAAGTGGAACAAATCACAGTCCAAAGGTAGTCATCAATGGCTCAATATCAGTGAGAGGAAAAGTCAAGTGGGATTCCTCAAGGGTCTGTCTTGGATCCACTATTGTTCAATATCTTCATTAATGATAGAATAGATTGAACTGAATGTATATTTAGTATATCTACAGATAACAATAAGGAGGGAGGGGAAACAGACAGGTGAGAGAGCAGGATTTGATTCAAAATGGCCTTGCTCAATTGGAAAAATGGTCTAAAATAAACTGCATGAAATTCAGTTAAGGAAAACTGCAAATAAAAGAGCAATCAAACACGAAGACGCAAAATGGATATGACTGACCAGGCCACAGTACTGCAGAAAAGGACCCAGGATTATACAGACCTGCAAGCTGAATATGAGCCAATGAGGAAATATTGTTGCAATTAAAACCTTATAGCATTCTGGGATGCATTAACAAGAATATTATATGCAAGTCACAGAAAGCAATTCTTCTACTCTATTCAGCACTGATGAGACCACACCTGTTTTGATCACAGTGCTTTGAGAAAGATATTAATGAATTGGAGGAAGTCCACAAGACACAAACAGAAACAATTACAGATCTAGAAACATGACATTTGAGGAAAGGTTTGAAAAATGGGGATGACAGTCTGGGAAAGAGAAGACTGAAGGGGAATCTGATATTTTAAAAGGGCTGTTATAAAAATTGCTCTTTGCACCCAATGGGATCAGGACAAGAAAGTAATAGTCTTTAGGTTAAATAACAAGGGTGTAAGGAGGTGCTGAAAGCCAGCAGCAGGCAGGCAGTAGCTGACTGTGCGGGCAGAAGGTTGGGAGTAATGATGATTAATAAATGAGGGTGGAGCCACAAAAAAGGTTAAGAGTTCCAGAAGCAGAGTGCAAGGTGAGAGAAAAGAGGACGCTGTCCTGCTCAGGAAGAGGCCCTGAGCCTGGCTTGCCCCTCTCCAGGTCTGAGGAAAGATGGCAGGGTTTGGTTTGGTTTGCACGCTTGCTTGTTTCATTTACTGCAGGGACAAGGCTCCTCATGTCAAATAAACTGGTTGGGAACCCTGAACACAGAGCTGGCTGGCCTGGATGAGGACGCTGCGGGAGTGACTGGCATGCAGATAGATAGCTTTCTCACTAGGAGCGTGGTTAGGCATTGGAGAGGCTGTTATTAGAAGTTTAAATACAGATTAGATAAACATTTGTCTGGGACAGTTTAGACCGAAACAATCCTGCTTTGAGCAGGGGTTGAACTAGATGACGGCCTGAGGTCCTTCCATCCATATTTTTCCTTGATATCATTATAAAATTCCATGCTTTCAGTATGTGCCTGGGTTTGGTGCCTATTAAATGGAGTTTCTGTATTCAGAAAACTTTGTCAGGACAAAGCATCATAAATGAACTGGACTCAGGACAAGCTACAGTAGCCATGGCACTCCAATATAATGAAGGGAATTGTGATTCCTAGCTCTGGGAGAGTGTGTGTTTATGGCTATACCTTTGCACATTCATTTTTCTCAAGTTCTTTCTAGAAAATCACAAATTAGGAAGTTTTCCCTCTTGCCAATTCTATGTTATAGTCTCTTTGAAATTTGCAGTACGTCTCTTAGCGTGAAAGATTTTATAACAGTATGGCCTCTAAGAAAACTCTGGGTTCACATAATTCAGCTACCAATGTACATAGAGGAAATATGAGATAAAAGGCAGCTATTTACTTACTTAAGTGCAGAATATGTAAATCCTTTCAAGCCATCTTTGCACCTGAAACAAAAAAAAAGATACTTCGTTTTGTTTTGCAGGCAACATTAAAAAACCCCAACTCATAGTTTAAATACTGGCATAAAAGTTCCCTAAAAGGACAACAATTTCCCAGGGATGGAAAAAAATGACTGTGTAACAAATATGGTAACAAAATATTAATATCTGTACTGTGGGCCTTGGAAGGTCTTGGAACCTAAATCTGGAAGCCAGATACCCTTGTTTCAAAGTCTCCTTTAGCAAGAAGCTTTTAAAGCAAAAAGATTCTTTTCTTTTTGTTTGTGAGTTTAATACTGACCAAGATCTACAGCAGAAATGATGTGAAATCATGGGTGGTCAAAGATTTGTTATTTTATTAAATAACTATGATAATCTTGACATAGCACAAGCTTACTAAAAGGGATGAGAAGTGTTGAGAAGTGCTCTGAACACCATTTTTTTCTTAAAAACATGGCAATGAATTTTCCAAAAGAGTATCTGATTTGCAGTGCAGCATCCTTCCTCACATGGGGCTGAATTCTGTGATCCATATTTTGGGGAAAAAAATATCTAGCAAAAGGTATGCCAGGCCAATTATGTGGTGGCCGAGTCTGAATATAAAGCTCTTTATGAGTAAATACTAAAACTGATTGGGGCACAACACACAAATTGACTCTAGCTCTTTAACTGGCAGCTGGAGTTGTAGGATTTAGGATTTAGGCATTTTTCTGCAGTGGGCATGTGACTGCAATTGGAGCCTGCAGCTGCTATGGATTCTTCCTGGAAGACTTCTCAGCGTACCAGGGTAATGCTGATTGGGAAGCAAAGAGTGTTCTGTTTGCATTTTTTTTCTTTTTATAGGAATGTAAGTCAGGGGGAAATGGATCATGGGGAAATGCGCTGCTCACAAAATACTTGGAACAGAAAATATTATCACATTTATTTTGTGCTCTAAAAAACACAGCATGCACTAACAAAAGAAAATCCTGCCCTTAAGGTAGCTGCCAAAGAGAATAGCTACGGTTAAAGACTGGTTGTGCCATGATACCAACACAGACCAAACTGCCTCAAAAGACTCTAGAAGCACCTTCCAGGGAATATTTTACTGTTATTTCCTAAACAGGGTTTTACTGAATCGAGTGGCTGCTACAGACTTGCCCCCACAGACTCGCTATTGCTGTCCTGATAATATGTACTAAAGAAGAAGAGCTTCCTCGTGCATCTTTCCCCTTCATTCAAGTGAGTGTGAACATAAGGCAACTTGTCCCAAAACTTCTGGACACATTTTGCTGAAGAAAGAAGGTCTCAAATTGACAAAGTCCAAAGAGCTGGCAGCCTACGGCCCATGTGCTCTTAGTGAGAGATGACAACATATTAAGTTCCCTTGGGAATTGTTTCACCAGGGTAAGACATCAAACACACATGTTTAAAGGGATTTAATCTTGACACCATGTGCATAGTTCCAGTTAAAGATCAAGCACAGTGTCAGGGAAGTAAACCTAAAAATAATTACCCTTCTAAAAACTGCTGTCCCTTAAAATACATATCCTATTTGATATCTGATACAGAACTGTAGGTATTCATGACACCTTGCAAAATATAAGAAGTAACATTAATAATAATACTTTAAATGTATATAGGGCCTTTTAGGTGAATAGTCAAAAATATTTCTTTGACTCAGAAAACACCTGTGGCATACATCTGCTAAGAATTTCAATACTGGTTTTACAGAAAGGTAAACTGAAACATAAAAAGTAAAGGCCAGATTCATAAAGGTATTTAGGTGCTTAATGCATTTCTAGGAGACTTCGCCATTGAAATCTATTGCATGGAGTTACCGACACCTAAATATGAGGCCTAAATGGTTTGTACAAAAAGTCCCACAGCAAGTCATTACCTGGGAAGTTTGACACCACCACCTCTAACCCATCCTACTCCAGTATCAGAAGTTAGGCCCTGAACCTACAGCTGATGGCATGCACAGAGACTGTTTTGCCCAACTAACTTCAATGTAGGCTACCTCTTATTAGTCACATTGGGTCATTTGTGTATGCAATATATTTTAATGCAATTTTATCTTCAATCACTCCAACACAAAGTGCAACTTCAGTTTGCAAATACTGCAAACAGCGATTACATTATCACACCAGTAGATGTCCCTAATCAACTGTTCCTCAAAGCACAGAAGTCCTCCTGGTACAATTCTTGACAGACATTGCTTTACTATTCATTTTCTTTAACACTTTGATTTTCTATTGCTTTACTATTCATTTTGTTTAATACTCAATGGAATTGTCTAATCATTGCTGCACTGATCTTAAATATCTTAAGATATTTCAATTAATCTAATGTAAACCATTTACAATATGTAATTCTACAAAATAGTTATGTACAACTCTTGCAGTTAGTTATGTACAACGAGCAGTTTTTGCACCCTGGACACCATGGCAGCAGCAGCTACCAACCTTATGCTTCACTCAAAGTCAGTGGCTGGGGCTGATACCCCACTCATCCATCCCAAGTACTGCTACTACCTATCCTTATTGATCACTTCTAATACTTTTCACCTTTCTTCCACAAGGGAACTGTAGACTTAATATACTTTATAAGGAAAAAACATTAAGTACAATGAAAGTCTTCAAATTAAATTAGTCTGGAGACTTAAGTCCTCTTATTTATTTAACAGTTACACAGCATGAGCAGCAGTAAAAGAAACTTCTCCACACTGCCCTGTCAATGTGCCCCCTGGTTGTGCCAGGACCAATTTAGGGTGTAGTAGTAAGACCTGTTGCCATTCCCTAAGACTGCTGAAGGAGGCACAAATTGGTGCCAGCTGTATACAGTAGAATTCATGATGTGAACACCCGACCATCATGAATCACACTGAGGCTACCAGCACAACCCACTCAACAGCCACAAACTTGTAATAATAGCTTTCATAACTTTTTGTCATTGAGCCAGTGGTGGAAGATTCCCTAATCCCATTAATGACACTTAAATCATTCAAGCCTCCAAACCAGAATGATAAATCAGAATTCCCTGCCTCTCTGGATTATTGACTCTTTCACTCTTGAGATGTGGAGAAAAATGTCTGCATTTTTTGCTTCAAGACTAAGTCTTTGAAAACAGTAAAACACATTTTAAAAATCAGGAACACAACCTGAACAATACCTTCTATTTCATAGGTCGGGTCAGCATGAATTACCAATTGGCAGACTATGAACATAACGCAACTGGTATACGGCATCTTTTCCTACCACTACTGCAATCCTGAAAGTCACCGCGCCATATTTTCAAGTCCAAGCCTGGTAGAATTGAGGACATAAAGAGTATGTAATCTGGTTGCAACCAGCCAGCCAAAAATCCTACCACTGGAGGGAGCTAGCAGCTAGTTCCTATGCCAACTTCCCACTTCCGGTTCTGGGGTCTGGCAAGAGAAGGAAATGGTGGGGCTTCAACAAGCTCTAATTTACAACTGGGTCAGGGTGAGGCTCAGAGCTGAAACAGCAAAAGAACTGAGTCACAACCAGCACCATGGGTCCCTCAACTTCCTGTGCCAAGCAGATATGGCCAGAGGAGAAAATCTGGCACATTTTACCCAAAGAAAAATAAAAGAAAAATGTAACAAGGCTATACACGTACACTCATGGAAAGGGTGCCACACTTGTGGAAACTCCTGCCACAACCTAGCACGCTTCCCTGTGTAAAAGCAGAATTCAAGCAGGACGGACAGTCAAGCTTCCACCCCACTCTGATTAGTGTGCGCACATGTGTTTGTGTGCGTGCAAACCTAATCTTCTATTATCACGCAGGGAAGGCAAGAGGTCTCCATACTAATTTTTAAGACTAAATGCCAGCAATTATGTTTTCAATTTTCTTATTTATATTTTTACTAAAAAAACTGGTGTATTCTGTGCGACTGAATGATATGCTCTGTGCAAGAAATCTGCTGGAGAAATAAATGTAATCATTGTAGCTCTACTCTCAGCACTCAGAAGAAGAATTAGCTCATAGCAACACATGCCGTATTTAATGAAAATCACAATATTGCTTATGTTCCTTCAGGGCAAAAGTAAATGAAAAAATTCAACTTTTCCCATATAGAATTTTTATTATGGCTGTGTGCTTGGGGAATTCAGTGCACACAATGAATGTGCGCTTGCATATTAAATCAGCATATCCAGCCCATTAGGATGGAGAAGAAAACTAGTTAAGGCAGACTGTTTCTGCAAGTCAGACGCACCATGGTAATAATAATTTGTAATAAAATATGTTTAAGAAAGTTTAAAACAAAGTAGGCCCTAAAAAACATATGTAATACCAACTATTCCACTGGCCAGGATAGAAAATTCTCAGGCTCTCACCCAATGGAGCTACAACCCTAAATCTGATCTGCTGCAATTTAAAGCAGTAAAGCAGTTGTCTACTCTTCATTGTGAATTGCATTGTACTATCAACCAACTTTCTCTTCATACATTTTAAAGCAGCTCATACTCTCTCTTTTGCTTCTGTTCTAACCTTTGTTTCTTTTGGTCATTTTCCTAAGTTGCCTTTAGTCACCCCATCTTTAGTTTTCTCCTTTTCTCTACCTCCAGCCACTTACATCTCCTCACACTTCTTTTGCTTATATCCACTTTTTTTTCTTACCCCATTATTTTAAACTCTTACGCTATGTCCAGATGTGCAGGCACGTGCAGTTTGCAGTGCCATAAGCTGCATATGTGAAGTGTTAAAACATGCCCCATGCTGCAAATTTACAGCACTGGGGCAAAATTTGCAACTGGCATTTCACTGTAGCAAAAAAAAAGTGCAGGGAAAAAAGGGGCACTGAGAATGCAAAATAGCATGCGTCAGAACAAACGGAGGATTGGTCCTCCAGTGAGATGCTCTGGCTGCTGGCTAGAGCATCTCTATTGCTCCATTTGTGCCCCTGCTGCTCCAGTTTGCCCAAAGTGGCACAATGTGTCCCGCAACAAAGCACATGTGCAGGGGTGTGCACTGAGGCACAAATTTGTGCCACTACT